CTTTTTTTTTTTTTTTTTTTTTTTTTGAGAGATTTTCGCTATAGGGCGCGTGCGTGTGCTCGCCAGACAGACATAGACACAGAGACAGAAAGCGAGAAATCACCCCCCAGGGGGGCTGGTCATGCTGCAATCCCTTCTCCTCCATTCTCCTCTTGGCATCTTGGGCATGCATGCACACGCGCCCGGCGTGAGTTTTAAGCCACCGGGTCTGGGACGTGAACCGTGGTCGACTACGTGGGAGTCCAGTGACATAGTCATCACGTAACTGCTGGTTCCCACACGCTGTTTGTTTTAAGCTGCCAATGTGGGACATGACTGTACATTTCTTGGGGGCTGTCTTGCCTGCATGTCTTCTCTTTTCTTAAAACATTTTTATATGAGTATGCAACAATTACATGAAACCCTTTTTTCCTGTTTTTGAGTTCGTGTGTTAGCTCCTTCCATGAGACGTGGAAGTCCAACCCGAAGCACAGGCGCTCCTGGGGAAGGCAGTGCGTCAGTAAGGGCACGGTCTCCCTGGGGCTGTGCCCCTAGTGCTTTCGGTGGTCAAGGGACAAGATGGCTGTTACATGAGAGAAGTGACACACTTTGCAAAGTAATGTGCAAAAGCTTCGCTAGTAGATTGCACTCCCAGGTTGTGGTTACCACCGTGAAGTCACCGTGGTCACTTTATTGTCCGTTTTAAGGAAATAACCTGCCTTGGCTTACGTCATCCTGGCTACATATGTTTTCTTTTATTAGAGGACAGTTTTCCTCAGTCTTTCCATGGTGGCAAATTTCTGTAAGGTCCCACTTTTTCCTGTTTTATCACTGAAATGGGCGGCTTATTCTTACGGATGTGCTGTGACGTGTACGCCACGAGATGTGTCCCTGATGGACCTCGCTGGAGTACACTTCAGCCCACTGTTATTACCTGTGGTTTTCCTAGGCTTCAGGCTCTCCTCCCACTGCTCACGAGTCTCCCCCTTCCATTTCTTCCCTTGCATCCATGGGTAGCCATCTTTTTTCTTTTTCTTTTTCCCCCAGGAGGGCCAGTTGAAGAAAAATAAAGTGTTTACAGGCTTCTCACCACTTTAAAAAATATTTACACAAGAAATAACTCTGTTGGGCTGAAGTAGAAAAAAACATGTCATTTTTTTTTTCCCATCTTGGTTTGCTTTTTAAATGAGGGAGGAGCTTGTTATATTTAATGACTTAATACTGTTTGTGTGTGAGCCGGGTGTCCTGTTCTTCCACCTTCTCCCATCTCTCCATCTGTAGACAGTGAGATATGAATAATACTCCATGATCGCACAATACGGTTTTATAGTGGAAAAGTAGGACTTAACAGCAAGACACTCCTGCTAGATAACCCCTTCTACATGGAGAGACGGGGTCGGCACAGCTCATCTAAAGCCAAGGTTATTGTTTTTTTAGGAAATTTCTGTGTTTTATTGGCTTATTCTACCCTTTAGTAAGGTGCTTTTAGAGATAAATCGTACCCATTTTCCACCACATTTATCTTGCCAGGATTTGTTACAGAAATACGTTAGGCATTCTATTGTTGCTTTGTGACAAATGTTTTATTACAGAAATGGGTATTTTTTGACTTCTACTTTCTAAGTTTTCCAGGTGGGCATGAACACGAGTGAGTCTCTCTGGTGTGGGGACCGCACATCATCCTCGTTTGCTTCTCTGGGATGGAGAGCACTTCCTTCTGGTCCACTCTTCCTTGGGCTCCTTACACTCCTGAAGCGGTGTCTGGCATGTCCCAGCACCAGTGGCATAGTCAAAGCTAGGGGAATATCTAGTTTCCATATAGTCACCAGATAATTCCCTTTGATGTCCTCAGTACGTGCTGTTTACATGAATTTCTTAGTGTACTCCCACTTTTGTCCTTCAGTTATTCCCACTGCTAGAGCACGGCTTCCTTCACTGCGTTGTCATTAATGTCCCCCAGTGCAGCTGACTTCACTGATGGTGCACTTGGCTGTGAGATGACTGAGCGTTAGGAGCTGGTTTACAAAGTGACCATATAAAACGCGTATCTTTTGTGAGGACAGAGCCTAGGATCTGTTCATATAAATATATCATATCATCCTCATAAGGCTTAGGGGGCTGATTTCCCTCCAGTCTTTATTCCAGGAAAAGTTGCATATTTCGTTAAGTTTGTCATTTTAGTCTTTGGTACTAGCGAATCTTGAATATAATTGAGTTTTCCTCT